GATCTGGAAATAGGATCTATGCAAGAAGTAAACCCAAGCATATCCTGAAATATAAAGCATACAAGGTAAACAAATAAAGCAATAAAGGTCATCTAACTCTTAAGGTAACCCCACTTTTAGTTTAGTTTTAATCTTCTCAGCTGAGTTGCCAGTTCTATAATACGGTGAGAGAACTGACTTTAGGGTTTTGCGTTTTATCGCAAATATTGCGGATAGCAAGAGTCACCACCGACTTTTCTTTTATCCAATAAAGGAAAGGGTGAAAAGAACAGGAAAGACCTTTGAGAATTTTCTTGAGTTCGGGGGGTAGGTTATGAAAAGGGGGAGGAAAGCAATAAACCCTAATTATCTATTACAAACTTTTGATAGTTACATAATTGTATCAATGCGAAAAATAAACAAATGTGCGAAGATAGAAAGGGGAAAGATGCAAAAACCCTAAAAATTCTAAGTATTTTAAGAAAATATTTTGTTGTTTCTTTGTTTAGAAAATATTTGAAATGATGAAATAAAAAGTTAGACCTAATTCTATTTTAATTTATAATTTAATTATTTAAAATAAAACAAGGTGTGATTAAATTAAATTATTTTATTTATGAAGATTAAATTATTTAATTAAAATCTAAATCTAATTAACTAATAAAAGCAAAGTCATTAAATTAAATTAACTTTTATTTATGAAAACTAAATCTATTTTTTTATTTAAAATTATTTTTTGTATTTTAATAAAAATGAAATAATATATATATATATATATATATATATATATATATATATATATATATATATATATATATATATATATATATATATATATATATATATATATATATATATATATAATAAAAAATTGGGTATGGATTAGAAGTAAAAGGAGGGTAAGACAAGAAAAAATGATGTTAGAAAAAATAAAATAAAAAAATAAAATGGGCTTATGTTGTAAGAAATTAGGGGGGAGGTGCTGAAACAGAAATCACTAGGCCCATGAACAACAACCTAGTATTGCGTGAGATCCAGTGTGGATGGCTCCAAGGGCTCCATGATGCACCTATGAATCTGGGGCGCTTGATCTGGCAGTATAGAGATCTGATGATGAAGAGTTGAGGGTGCACCATGCACTTGCGTAGGCTTAGTATGCTGAATCTGCAAGAAATATGTGTAAAAAAACATAAAAGGGTACCACTAAGGCTCGAACTCATGTCCCTTACATTAGTGTGCGTTTCCTTTCCTAATGGGGTGGCTGTTTCATCCAGTTATGAAACTCCCACCAGTAAATATATTATAAACTCGTTTTCAAATTTTTGAATTTTCACTTCTTCTTCCTCGCGCCAGCAACAACAACAACATTTCCAAATCTTGTAAAACCTTCATTTCTCAACCATTTTGAAAAATGTAAACACCAAACTTGCTTGAAATTTAATCACGAATTCAACCATATAACTTTCAAAATCTATAGATCAAATATTAGAACGAATTTTGTTTGGTACCAAACTGAAACCCTAAAACTTCAGAAAACTCAGTTCCAAAATTTTCATCATACAGCCAATTAAAATGAGATTTAAGGACATGGTTAGCTTCATAGACATGATGTCTACATTTTATCTTTTGAAAGTATATGCAAATGATGCTTAAATGAAGATATCACGGTTTGGAAAACTTACCTCTTGAAGTGCAAACTCAGAACGCGTATGGGGGATTTCAGGTGCAATGTGATTATTGATTAAGCTTCCTTGGACCTCCCTGAAGTTATTCCAATCTTTACTTTGTCTTGAAAGTTGCTGAATCACTTCAACCAAGTCAAGTTGCAATGATGGAAAGTGAAAAGGGTGGATGATGAAGATGATGTTACAGTGAGGAAACATGGGTATGAATGAGTTATATATGATATATATGAAGTGTTTGGATGATTGGTTTGGACAAAAGTTGTAAGGTTTGAGAGATTCAAAGATTTGGACTTCAAAGCTCAAAAATGGAGGTTTTGTGTACAATTATGACTTGGGAGAGTTTGAGAGCGTTAGAGTGCTTGTAAACTCGTGCTTTGGCTTGAAAATGGTCTCTTCATTTATAGGGAGAAGGTTCAGAGGATGAGGGGACTTGGTTTACAAGTTATCAAGTTTTGGCTTGGTTGAGATGCAACTTGTGATTTCTTGTGAAATCAAATTTTAAATGTATAATACCATGCCTTCTAGAGTTGTTAGACACTTTAAACATGTTCCTATAAGTTTTTAGGTTGAGTGTGTGCAGATAAAATAGGTGAAAGGCTCAAGGAGAGTTGACAATTGCATAAAGCATGCTTTATGTAAATGGCAATGGTGCCTTTGTGCCATAAATGGAAAAAATCATTTGGATAATGGCTCAAACACTTGGATAATGACTCAATCAATTGTGTAAACATTTAATTATGGGGAGATTTGCAATCCAATGGACTTGAAAAGTGAGATTATGCAACGTAGTTATGAGATTTGGTCATAAGGTCTTAACAAGGATGACCTAAAATTCAAGTTTGCCATGCCATCTTCATATCTTCGAAACTTCTAGCTCAAGCATGATAATTTTGTGTTCATGGACATTTTGGAAAGCTTGAATCAAGATCTACAACTTTCATGTTGTGAGTTTTTTCTAAATTAATTTGGATCTTAGTGAAAAATGGCCAAGAAGTTGGGGATGAAAAACTGACCAAAACTTGTAAAAAAAATTCTAAGTGTTGGATAAAAAACATCATAACTTCATGGGCTTATATCCCTTAAATTAAACACTTTTTGAGGATCATCCCACATTAAAAAAGTTGTAGAATTCATAAATCCCTACAACTTTCATGTTGAAAGTTTTTCTTGAATCAACATGTATATTGAGGAAACTTACTTGTGAAGTAGGATTTTTTAGGTACAAAACACTTGAATTTTTTCTAAGTGTTTAAAAATCTTGACTTTTGACTTCTGCTGACTTTCTTGATTCTTGATGGTCAAGTTTGATAGTTTTAAATATCTTGATGATTCTTGATTTTTGAATTCCAATGTTGACCAAAAAGTCAAAGTTTGACTTTTGTATGACTGTTGACTTTTCATCAATTGATTCAAATTTTCAACTATCAATCACTTGCATCTTTGGAAATGTTGAGTCATGTAATTAGGTCAAGATGTTGTATTTTTGTCCTTAAAATCATGCTTCAAGCTATTAGGTCATGCACTAGGTCAAAAGTCGATGATCAGTCATCCTTAGTCAAAAACCCTAATTTGGGAAATTTTTGACCTCTGATGATTTGAGGGTTTTCCTTGAGGAATCATGATCAACCCCTGAACAAATGATGAATATTACTTCAAAATGTTTATGTTGACCAAAAATCTTGAAGTTTGACTATATATTGATCATAATTGACTTTTTATTCAATACAGTTGATTTTCAGTCATCTGAGCAGTTGACTGGGCAAACTTGTGATGCAAGGCTTGAAACTTGACATAAGCATTATTGAGGATCTATAATGAAACATGAAAGTCATTTTAGGCCCTTGCAACTCCATATTCCTTGAGAAACACCAAACCCTAATCGTGGATTCATTGCTTAGGAGGAGGTTTGACCAGTCAACTCTTGAGAATCCTTGAGTATTTGAGAATCTTAGAAGAATGTCTTGAAGAAAATGGGAGGGAAAATTTTGGGGTACAGCAACAGGGTTCAAATATTGTTCAATGGTTGTGGACTCCTTGTATAAAGTGAGTATTTGATTTTTTTTCTGTCATTTTCTCGGCTAGCATAAAAGCCGAGTGATTCAATTCCCCTAACTCATTTTAGATTTTTCTTGATCAGCCTTAAGTAGGTTTATCAAACACGCTCGTTATCAAACACATTTGGACTTTTCCCCTTGGACGTTAGTTCAGATATTTTGAACATAACTAGAAGAAGTTTAATTAAGTTCAAAACAAGATGTATGAGTCATGTTACTTGTTACGACTCTACCAATGGTTTATTTTTAATAAGGAAATATATAGATAAAAGAAAAGAGGTACAAAAGGAGAAGGGGACTATACTAAAACCTTCTCAAAACTAATTGAACCTAAAGAATGGCAAATCCAGCCTATTCTTTACAAAATCCGCCCTTAAGAATATCGGAATCGAGTCAAAACTAATATAATTAGTCACTGTAAGGCCTAAGTTAGCAAGAGGGTCAGCACAACTATTCCCTTCTCTGTAGATATGCGAAGCCACAAAAGAAAAATTAGTAGTGATATTTACACAATTTACACATCTAGTTCTGATTTGCCAAGGCACTTTGAAGGGTTGCTTAAAAGCTTGAACCACAACAACAGAATCTGTTTCTAGCCAAAGATGCTGTCAACCCTTCTCATTGGCAAACTCAATTGCAAACATAGCACCTGAGAGTTCGGCAATGAGAGAATTCGAATCACCCAAGAACTTAGCAAAAACTCCAAGAAACCGGATGTCAAAGTCTATGGCAATGCCACCATAAGCAGAGGGGCATGGGTTACCTAACGACGCTCTATCATAATTGAACATAATCCAATTTCAAGGGGTGGCTTGGCTTCCAAATAACCTCCAAAATCTTAGGGGCGCGAGGAGGCTGAATAGAGACTTTAAAAGATTTCAACAAAACAAAATCTCTAATACTCACAAAAGAAGGAACTTTGAGACAATTTCCAGCATCAGAACAAGCGAAAACAATTCCAAAAATGGAGGAGGAAACATAAATGTATTTATCTTTGAATCTCACACTATTGCGAGCAAACTAAACGACATTAATTAAATGAATTACCACAACATTAATGATAGACTTATAGTGTTCAGACCAATCTCTACTGCAAATACCAAAACATTATCTCAATCCTTAACTTGACAGTTAATATTCAAGTCACTCACCAACCATCCCCAAATCCGGACAACGTAAGAGCACTCGAAAAAGAGGTGCGACGCAGATTCATCAGACTGCGAGCAAAGACTGCAGGCCAAAGGAAAAGCAAACTTTCGTAACTTTAATTGATCATCCGTAGCTACCTTATTGAGTAGCAACCTCCAAACCGTAAACAATTTAGACAGCGGAATATCTTTCGACCAAACCCAGCGCCACCAGAACTCAGAAACGCCCGAAGATCAAAAGGAATGTGATAGTTACGAATTCTAATCTGAATAGGGACCTGAATCTCATAGTTAGAAGGAAGTATAGTGAGGATATCATTCATACTATCGTCCACCATCTTCGGAATGACCTCTTCGACCATAGATCTATCCTGCAAAACAACAATGTTAGGAGCAAAAATGTTTTGAAAATACTTCACAGCGTGGTTAGCGATTTACCTGAGACTCCGAATCAGTAGAAACATGAGATGTGAAATTGAGGGGATATTCATCTATTGCAGCGCCGCAAGGGGAATAGCCTGGACCGACTCCACCTGACCATCAGGAGAAGTAGCATCAATGTTACCATTATTGAGATTACCCAATAATGTGGTGGTATATACTTGTTTTTATAAAAGTCGCATATTTTTCTCTTCTAGGCTTAACCAAAAATCTGTAAATATCATGTAATAGGTTTATTAGCTTTCAATTTTTTAACTATATAAACACTTAAACATTTCTTTGTGAAAATGATGTGGGACTATTCTCTTTACAATCTCTTTGCAATAGAATAGTGATTCACATTCTTTGTTAAGCTTTTTCCAACTGCTAAGATCTTTTTCTCGAAACCGTATAACCTACAGGTTATGAACTGCAGAGAGATGCCTTCATCTGAACCAATAGAAAGATGCCTTGAGTTATGATCTATAGTCATACAAATTACAACACTAATAGCTTTTACAAGTTTCATACTCTTGACTATATGATATAATTATTGGAAATAATTTATATTTTAGGAATGTCTTGTTGACTAAGTTTGTTAGAGGGCATTTTAGTATTTTACTATATCCAAATATTTATGTTAAATAACCTAGTAGTAGGTAGGTCAATGTATAAATTACTCCTTATTTTGTAGCTGAAATTTAATATATTCATTTTGTCTTTCATCTCTCTTTGTACACCAACAATTGGTATCTAGAGTTCCGGTTCGAAATCCACGGGGAAACACGAGTGAACAGTGAGGTGTTGTGTGATTGAGAATCACATTTTTTTATGATTCTGTGGGATTTGTGAAACGCTGCGTTAGTGAGTTTTTGAGTGAACTACACAAGGTTGAAGATGAACGAAAACGGTGATATCAGTTTCAAGCTTTCAGTGTTTGATGGTAAAATCTGGAACTATTGGAAGATCCAGATGCATGTGTTGTTTAGTTTTCAAGATGTGTTAGATCTCGTCACCGATGGCTATGCTTCATTAGCACCAGACGCAACGGTGGCACAAAAAACAACGCAGAAGGCGATGAGGAAGAAATATCATAAAGCATTGTTCTACATCCATCAGTGTGTGGATGTGAATGTGTTTGAGAAAATTGTTGACTCTGAAACAACAAAGATTGCATGGGACACATTGGTCAGATGTTGTAACATCATGATTCAATTGGAATTATTTTTAATTAAATAATAAGATGATGCGGAAAAATTATATGAGTTGATGGATTTTATGATGTGGTATGATGCCTTGTTGGGAACTAGATGCCTTAGAATTATAGAAGTTGAGGTTATGGGGGTGTTTGGCTAAATGCATAGAAACATAAGGGTGTGTGAAATAATATAGATTATTATTATTACTATGTCATTAGAATAATTATTATTATTTTATAATAATAATTAAATATTTAATTAATTGGGATGGTTATATTTATTATTGGAATATAGATTAGAATAAGAACAAGGCAATATAGTCAATACGTGAAATAGAACCAAAGTGTAGAAGGTAGAAGAAGAGAGAAGCAATAGGAAGCTAGGGAAAAGGAATTCGTCATAGAGATCAAGAATCAACCAAGAACCTAAGGTAAGGGTAGAGTTCTGACTCTCTAATAGACGGTATAATTGTGAGTAGATGAAGGTTTGAATATAGGGTTTTGGTGTAGATTAATTGTTAAATTGTTGTTACAATTGCTTGTGATTAATGAAATTGATGTATCGTTTGTGTTAGAATTGTGGTATATGATATGCGTTGATGACTTGAAATAATGGATGCATTTGATCTTTCATAAAAAGAGGTTTTTGGGTGAAGAAGATGGGATTTTGTAGCAGAAAAATCAAGTTTTTGGGTCTGTTCGCGATGGGTAATCGGTTACCATATGTGGGTAACTGCTTACCGCTGTTATGTTTTGAAAATAATTGGCTACTGTCTTACAGTAACCGGTTACCCTATATGGATGACCAGTTACCGCGGAGAATTTTGGAAAATCAAGGTTACTGTCTTGCGGTAACCGGTTACCATAATTGGGTAACCGGTTACCACTGCTATTGACAGCATTTTTGAAAAACTTTGAAAAATCATAACTTTCGCTTCGGGTGTTCGTTTAACGCACCGTTTGAACCGTTGAAAAGCTAAAAACATTTTCTACAATGTGATAATAATTTTGATAAGAGTAGGCGAATTATTTTTGGGTTGAAGGCTTATGCCTTGGATGTCAGTGTCAGTTGTTGTAGATTAATTGGGATGTTCCTATTTTAATTATGAATTGTTGTCGTTGTGAAATTGATCATGAGGATTTTGGTGTTGATCTGATGTGATATTTTCTATCTTATGATGATTACTTTGGTGAAGGCTGATGCCTTGTGTGTTAATGTTGTATGAAGTGTGACACGTTTTATTGTGATTAAACGTGATGGTGTTGTACGAATGATGTATGAATGTACTGCATAATATATTGCAATATGGAGAAGATGTTGTTGTTGGCCTGGAATTGGCATGATGTTGATGTTTATGCTCGTGATTGCATAATTTTGGTTGTGGCATGTCGCATTTCATGCATCGTTAAGGGCTTATGCCTTGGCCTGTATTGGTAATCATTGACGGCTTATACCCTGGCCTGTATTGGTAATCATTAAGGGCTTATGCCTTGGTCTGTATTGGCAATCGTTGAGGGCTTATGCCCTAGCTTTTATGGCAATTTTTGAGGGCTTATGTCCTGGCCTATATGGAAACTTGTTGAGGGCTTATGCCCTGATGGTACCATGTGCATCTTGCATCAGTGTCAGTCGTATTGCATTTGTTGGATTATTGATATTCGATGAAGTTGAGTTGTATGTTTGATTTATGTCGTATGATGGGTGATGATAATTAAGTATGTATCCATGTAATCGTTATGAACTATAATTGATGATTGTGGGACTCTAAATCTTGAATGATATACTTGTTGTTTATTCATGATTATATGACTTATTATATTGTCATGATATATCACCCTTACTGTTTGAACGTTGCCTCTATGTGGGTAACATGCAGATAGCCAGGAGTAGTCCGAAGTAGCATAGTCTAGAAGAGGTTGCTTTCTCTTATTTAGTGGGTGTCATTGCTCTGATACGTAACACCGAGGGGATAAACGCTTGCTTGTTTATTTTAGCAGTTGTTTGATTTTGAAGAATTGTGGGAGTGATGTAGACTCTCTTTATTTGATTTAAAATGTTGTTTTATGATGAATTAAAGATGTTGAAATAATTATGAATTTGTTTTGTTGTATTAATAAAGTTGAAGATTGAAGACTATGTTGAAATGTTGTCGGTTCATCAGAAATATGTGTTATGTATCTGTTTTATCTTAATTGAGCAAAAATCAAATATGTTGAATAATGTGACATCCTATTTGTTGTTGATGTGAAAATTTTATTTTACTCTGATTATTATTAAAAATTACCATTGGAGAAATATGGTGTTATAAACGTTACGATGGTGACGCATCAGAGAAGAAGGTGAAGCTTCAGTTCCTAAGAAAGCAATATGAGAATCTCAACATGAAGGACAACGAAGAAGGTTTCCGAGTACATCTCTAGAGTGATTATGATCACTAATGAGATGAAAGTTTGTGGAGAAACCCTTTCTGAACAAGTAATCATAGAGAAGGTATTGAGATCTTTAACTTCTTAGTTTGATTATATTGTGGTAGCAATTGAACATTCCAAATATCTGAGCACCATGAGAGTTGAAGAGCTGCAAAGTAGTCTAGAGGCGTATGAGTTGTGTATGATTGAGAGAACTTCTGAGAAGAAAGTAGAGCAGCAGGCTCTGAAAGCAACTTCTGGTAAGAAGTATCAGAAGAAGACTTGGTTAGAAGCCAGAAAGAAAACTAATGGTGGTCAGAGGTCAGAAGCTTCAACCTCTGATAGGCAGAAGAATGTCCAAAAGGGAAAGGAGAAGCTTGACAAGAAGAATGTTCAGTGTTATTGTTGCAAGAACTTTGGTCACTATGCCAAAGATTATTGGTCAAACAAAGAAAGGAAGTTAGAAGAAGCAAATATATCAAGAGGAGAGTCTAATGATGAACCAGGGCTATTGTTGGCTTCTGAATTTGATGATATGAACAAGAAATGGTTGGTTTTTTGACTCTGGGAAGAGTATGAAGGTCAGATGTGATGATGATAAATACCTTAATGCAGTAGGTATGGAAAATGTCAGAGTCATTCTAAACAATGGGAAAGCAGCAGTGATCCAGAATGTGTGGTATCTACCTGGCATGAAAAGAAATCTAATGAGTGTGAGACAAATGATTGAGAAAGGTTTTTCAGTTACCATGAAGGACAATCTTATGAAGTTGTATGACTGTAATCAGAAGTTGATTATGGAGTCAGAATATGGAAGGAACAGAACATTCAAGGTGAATGTTATAACTGCAGACTCTGAATATCTTAGTGCAACAAGTGTTGTCAAGGAGAGTGAGTTGTGGCACAGAAGATTTGGTCATCTGAATTTCAGAAGCTTAGGGCATCTAAAATCAAAGAAGTTGTTACATGGAATTCCTACAATCAAGAAGCCTGAGAAGCCATGCAGGGTGTGCATGGAAGGGAAGCAACCAAGATTTCCATTTACGTCAGAAGTAACTGCAAGAGAAAAGTATGCCTTGAGAGTAGTGCATTCTAATGTGTGTGGTCCATTTCCAGTAGCATCGATTGGAGGAAATAAATACTTTGTGTCATTTGTTGATGATTTCACCAGAATGATATGGGTATCTCTCATCAAGTTCAAACAAGAGGTGTTTGCTGAATTCAAGAAGTTCAGACTGAAGGTTGAGAATCAGAGTGGCTAGACTCTGGAGATTCTTAGAACTGATGGTGGTGGTGAGTATAACTCTATAGAGTTAAGAAGGTTCTATGAGTAGA